CCGTTGCTAATGGCGTAAACGTGGCCGACCTGAATGCTCTTCAACAGGCCACCGCCGCTGAGCATTCAGAAGCCGCTGACCCTGCCAACGCCTCGAGCACTGCCGCCGCCGCTCTCGGCTCCATGTATCCCAGCATTCACGTACCGCAGACCACCGAGGCCCAGTTCGCCTCGCAAGGCGTCAATGATGGCAATCATGTCCCTGACTCGGCCTTCGACCCCAACATGACCCAGCATGATACCATAATCGATAATGCTCTGGCCGGCCTGCCATCGTCTGGGAGTCCTCATGATCTGTCGCCTCCAAACGATCAGCAGCAACAATTGGGTCACGATCAGCATCAGCAGATGCCGCAGCATGATCAACACCAGCACGACCCTCATCAGCATGATCAGCACCAGCAGCATCATCTCGACCAACACCCGCACATGGACCCGCAGCATCAGCAGCACCAGCACCTCGAGCAGCACCAGCAACAACAACAGCAGCATGAGCAACCACCACCTCAATCGCAGCCCGCCCAGCACCGGTACTCGACCGGCTCTGCAGGCGCCCCTCCCAAGTCGAAGCCCGATGTTGGGTCTGACGAGTGGCACAAGCAGCGCAAGGACAATCACAAAGAGGGTAAGTCTTTTTGTTCTCCAGGCCGGCTTACATGGATCATCATGTTAACGAGACTACAGTGGAACGTCGCCGCCGGGAGACGATTAACGAAGGCATCAACGAACTGGCCAAGATTGTGCCCAACTGTGAGAAGAACAAGGGATCAATCCTCCAGCGCGCCGTCACATTCATCAACCTCCTGAAGGAGAACGAGTCTCAGAACTTGGAGAAGTGGACTCTGGAGAAGCTGCTTACCGAGCAAGCTATCGCCGAGCTGAGCACATCCAACGACAAGCTCAAGCAAGAATGTGAACGTCTCTACAAGGAGCTCGAGACCTGGAAACGCGTGGCTCAAAACGCCGGCCTCTCGCTGCCTCAGCAAAACAAGGACGAGGCGCCGGCAGCGATCTAGAATGTCCGTTCTCACCAACCTCGGCATTCCTCATCTTCCCCGCCGAGCACGCAGCAGGAGACGTCCGAGGCTCCCGAGTCGTCCGCACTTCCCTTGTGGTCTGCATGGCTTGTATAAGTCGCCACACAGCGGTTTTAGCGGACATGGCTACACAAAGAGGTCAACCTCAGACATGTTGTGTTCGGATCATACGTAGCCTAGGCAGCTTCCCTGTGCCGTGAAGCCTACCAGTCGTCAGTTGGCCCACGGACGTGGCGGGGCTGACTTTTAGCCTTCCTTTCCCTACAGTGGAGATGATCTATCTCGAGACGAATGTGGCTGTGTTGATGACTTGGAGCGTGTGCGAATACGGCGCCTTCCTTGAATAGGAAGGCATCGTCCGGAATTATCTACTTTTCTTTTCCATCGGCGTTGGTATAAGCATTCGGCGTTCAGCGAGCACTGCCGGTAGTCGGAGCAGTGGTCGTCACTAATTCAGGAAGGACAAGGCAGGCAGGCAGGCAGGCAGGGAGGCTGGACGAGGGGTTCTGAAGCGCACCAGGAATTTCATCAGCGCACCAGGAATTTCATCAGCGCGCGTGTACTGTGTCGGAGTATTCTGTCTGATAGGATGCTTCCCCCCTTCTCGAGGGGCTCCTTTTTTTTTTTTCTGCAATGCCAAAGTGCCAAAAGAGACACGTCGTTCAAATGGCTCAAGCCAATGGCCTGACAGTTTCGATATGTTCCCTCTGGTCTGGATTTCTCTGGTCAAGATATCAGCCAAGGCATCCCCTGTGTGACTTTGAACCTATGTCAAGCTACAGCATGCAACAAGCAGAAGAAGAAAACAAGGTGGAAACATGGTGCGGCTTTCTCAGGCAAGGTTCTGCCTCTCCTGAGGCCGCCTCCTCGCTACCCAGCCAGCAGTCCGGGCACGGTGTCATCCGGCGGGCGGGCGGCATGGCTCCTATATATGTGACGGCCCAATCGCCGCGTTTAGCTCCGTTTGTCCACCGGAGACGCTGTGTACCGGAGACTATCGACACCTTACAGCACAAACTGTGCAAACTGATTCCCCGCCACCCCATGGCCGGAGGCGGAGAACGGCATGCGCGGATGAGACGGCACGCTGCTTGCATGGAGGGGGCCAGTATCCGCAACACGCGATGCAACTTGGTTTTTCTTTCTTTCTTTGTTAGTTTCTTTCTCTCTCTCCTCCTTTCCGCCACCACCCGCTTCTCGCAACACAGCCCACGAACAGTGCAGGATCAGCGCGGCATCCACCGTAGCAAGGGGGTAGAGCAGGCTTGTGTATGTATATGCATGGTCCCGCATGCAGAGGCTGCAGCCGATCGAAATTCTGCTCCGTCTGCCTTGTCTCGTTTTGTGCCGTGCTTGCGTGCTTGCGTGCTTGCGGTGCAGAGTATGTTTGGTCTGCAAGGCAACCTGGCCACGGTGGTTTTACGGGGGGAGGAAACCAAGGTCGACCTGGTAGCTGGAACGGAACACCCCCACTCTGCAGGTGTCTTCTTTCGAACTGTGTACTTCCGTTTCATATGTCGACTGCATCAGCTCTTTTTCATGTTCCCCAACCGACTATAAGGGGGGGCGGGCGATGTGGGTGCGAGCTATTGACATGGATCTGAGGGCTCTGAGTCGTGTTGGCGCGACCAGCTTGCTGCAGACTCCCCTCTGTAGGTTTGACGGGGCTCACACGCAAACAGGCGAGATGTGATCAGTCGGGTTGTTGGCATGACTCTCATTCGACAAGCAAACAGAAAAAAGAGACAAAAAGGCACACAAATGAAAGATGAGAGGCACGAGCAAGGCCAGCCTGCTATTTACTTGCCTCGCCTTAAGGAGCCCTGGCAAGGCTTTGCGGTGCAGCCTGGCCGCGTGCGCCGACGATGGTCGTCAAACAACAGACGCCCCCAGACTCAAACCCATGGCCTAGGCCCATGGCTGAAGAATCGCTCGTTTCTTTTCCCGCGTTCGCGACGCCCAAGACAGAACTTGGAGTTTATCCACAACGCAATGGGACCCCGGTCACCAGGCTCTAGCATAATTTACATTGTCACATGGCCTTGGTAGTATCATCCTCAAGCCCTCGCTCAGCCTTTTTCTCACTCTCCCCAAGATCTGAACCTGGAACCCCCTCTCTTCCCTCGGCAGTCAGAGCCTCCAGCCGGAAGGAAGCGCCAATCTGACCAGAAGATCAACTGCAACCCACCCTTGCTGGCTTGACACGATTCCCAGATATCTCCACCAGCATGACGGGAACCCAAGATCTAGCTAATCAAGGGAATCGTGGGGCGTCCCCCCCCCCCCCCTCCCCCAAAGAATGGGAACGGGAATGATGGGTGTGCGCGATGTGATCTGAAAGGGAGGGGGGTGTTACTCCAGCCAGCTTTCTGTCAATTCTCAAGTTTTGCTCCCGAAGAAGAATGACACCCCCCCCTCCCTCCAAAAACCGGGGACGCCAAAGTCTAAAACACCAGAGGAGGGGAGGGGGGGGGGGATAAAAAAATCCTGGTTGAGATCGGAGAGAAGGTTGAGGAGAATTCAAGACTCAGGCCCAAAGAAAAAGTCCGGTCCAGGCAAACGAACCCTGGCCCGCGGCTGCTCCCGGGGAAAGGGGGGTATCCACTCTCTCACCGGTCGGACCGGTGACCGGGATCAGCCCGCGCTAGGTGGGGTCTGCTGCCCTATTTCCCTTACAGTACCACGGTTTGGGCGGGGTACAGAGGAACAAACACCATGGGCGATGCTTCGGTGTCCGCCCCCCCCCCTTCTCTCCCTTCTCGCCCTGCGCACATCCACCCGATCATCCCCATCGACAAGGTTTTGAAGGGAGGGGCGTGGGTCAAGCGCGGCTCCTTCCGCTGGGTGTGTACCATCGCGCCTTTTCCTGCTCTGCCGTGCCCCTAGGATCAAAAACGTGATGGCGTGTCGCGCGGGAGCCATAGCCCGGGCCAGATGGCATTTCTGATATGCGATGTATCAAATCTCGCTCTTTTCCGGTCGTCGCGTGTCTAGTGTCTGGCGATGAAGTGGAGTTGTCTCGATCCCACGACCTGCGGTTGAGTGATCCAGAGATGCGTCTAGGCGTGGCCATCATGGGAGGGACCTGACGTAATGGTTCTGTTGCTGCTTTGCTTGCTTGCTTGCTACTTGGCTCGTCACGAACGTCACGTCACGTCATGTTGGTCTTGGTCGCAGGTGGCCCGGCTGCCATGGAGTTGCTCTCAATGGAACCTGTCATTCTTCGTAATATTGGTCGGAACGCCAGCCGGCGCGCTTTGCAAGTATCCTGGTCACACTGTAGTCGCGGAAATCGTGGCTCAACACAAACAAGCCTTGTCATTTGGGAAGGGCCTTGGTGGCCGCCCCAGCCAGCCCATCGTGCCCATGGCAGTCATCAATTCATCAAGCAATGAACCGACACATCCAACGTCCTGTCCGTTCCGCCGGAGTCTTCCTGCAAATGAGTACCTCAAAACATAAGCCATACAGCCGATTATACGTGCTGCTACGCCTCCTTCTGGCTCGCGTCACGCTCCCCCCCCCCCCCCCTCCGAGATAGACAGAGCAATGGAAGAAACTCACAAATCATTAATCCCTCTCGTTCCCTTTCCTCCGCTCCCTTGCTTGATATGGGCGCCCGTTCTGTGGAGGACCAACTAAACAAACAAAAGCAAAACCGGTTACCAAACAAAAACCAAACGCAACTAAGACGCTCGTATCGCATAGCCAAATGTGACGTGCCGTCGGCCCGCCCAAGTGCGAACCTTCGCACGGCAGACAGAATCGCCCCAACCCACGGGTTCGCCCAACCTTCCAAACAGGAGGAAACAACAAAGTTCAGAACGCACAATCTTGATCGCCATGATATGTAGGATAACCCTGCGCCTGGTATTTACTGGTGTTGAGGAATCAGAAGCCCCGCCGGAATTTATGCTTTTTGCCGTCCCTCCTGGTGATGAAAACCTGACTAGAAGGACCGAAATTATTGGAGCCGAGGCAGCGTGTCAGACTTGACGCCGGCATTGGACATGGACCGTCCATCATGGCCTAGTGTGTACGTGGGGAAACCCTGAGAGCCTTGTACATGGCCCTGGTTTGCAGTTGTTCCGGATGGGAACATACCACCCTGTTCAAAGTTTCCCCGCGAGAGGCCGTCGTATTGTGCTGCAATGAAAGGAGTTTGGGCGAGTGGCACGCCAGCATGATTGTTGAATTGGCTGGGCGGAGTAGGCGTCGACGAAAATGGGTAGATAGAGGCCGGGCCAGGCGCTGTTGTCCCTGGCTGCCACGACTGATTGTAGATGCCCGCAGACTGTGGGTTGGCATATTCGGTAGGTGAAGTGTAGAGCGAAGCCCTGCGGTGGCCATCTTGAGGGCCAGGGCCGATATCATGCATCGGTATACCGCTTGACGAATGAAGTCTTTCGCTATCGACAAAGTGCTGGTCCGCGTGCATGCTGGGCTGAAGCAGCTGCTGCGTATACGGCGCACCTCCGCGAGGAGGCAGACCATCCATGTACGAGCTGCCCTGAAGGCCCCCGGCAGGGCTGTGGTCGTGACTTGAACCGTGCATAAGGGTGTCATGGGTCGCAGTGGATTTGGAAGGCGACGTGCTGGAAGCCGACTGAGGTTCGCACTCATCCTTGACGGGAGCACTGTCATCGTGTTCCGACATGCCAGCCCCTGGAAATCGCTCTTCGGCCATGACGAAGACCTGTGTATCCGCATCTTGATCGGTTAGCGTGCATCATCACTGCGGCCATGGTCGGAGGGTGAAATACCTATCTCTCCATGCTTGTACCGCTGTTCGCTGAGCGCAACCTTAAAAATCTCATCCAGATACGGCTTCTTCTTGGCGTTCTTCTGATTCTCCTTGGCAGAGAAAAACATGGACAAGGCTTCCTCTGTCGCTTCCTTGAGTTTTTCGACCGTAAGATTCATCTTCTGGATAGATGGGTGCTGTTTTTCGTTGGGCTCCACTATCATTCGAAGAATGTGGCACAACAGGTAAACACGTTCTGTACGGGCGTTAATAGGCAGACTTTTTTTGAGGGGGGGGGGGGGGTTCACGGGGAGGCTGTTGTGAGCCATATACCTCTTTTGTAAAGATGATCAGGCTCTTTGTGCCGAACCTTTTCTTCCTTCGTCGTGCCCCAGGGTTTCGGCCACCAGTCCGGTGCCTTCTCCTCTTGTCCAGTGTAAGGGTGGTTTGTCTGTTTCTTGGGCTCGACTACTTTGACCCAAGCTTTGGCGATGAGCTTACAGGCTGTCTGTTGGCAGTTCCTGAATCGCTGGTCGTAGAACTTCCTCACCTCATCGGTGTCGCCTATTTTTAGCCCCTTTGTCACAGGGCCCATCGTCACAGACGGAATGTCGCTATCGTCATCGATGGGTCTCCGGTACGCCCTAGCCCTCTTTCGCGGTTGAGAAAAATCGTCAGAACCGAATACCTCGCTGCCCTGTCGACGTCTCTCTGGTGCGCTGGATCCATATCCTAATGGCGCTTGCTGCCTGTACTGTTCACTGGCATAGCTCAGTTCAGGATCATCGTGCATGGGGCCAATGGCTGTGATGTGTAAGTACGCGTGGCCGAAGGGTTGCATGTTAACAAAGACGTACCGCCCGCGTCTGCTCTCCTCACTTGCTGTCGAAAACGATCCATGTCGAAGAATGAACTGGCAGAGCTTGGGTGGTTTCGACCTGGGCCGGAGAATGTTTGCGTGGAACCATCGTCGAGTATGGCAGCCACAAAGTAGTGCCGCGCAGGAATGTTGCAGTGTTCTCGCAGAGCCTTCTCAATGTCCTGGAGTAAACGAAGTCAGAACGGTCCAGTGTTTGTTGCCTGTTCAATCTCACAAGAGGTGGCCGACGCGTATCATTTAGTTCGTGATAACGCCCTTCATCATATGTCGTCTCAACACTCCGGTCTTGGTGCTGGTGCCATTGTGGCTGATGTCGGGGGAAGGCCTCTCTTGACCAGTCACCCCGCACATTGACCATGATGACAGCGAAGTGAGTTCAGGCGACTCCGCTCCGGGTCACTCTGTAACGAGAGGGTCGTTGTTCGATCTGCCTTTAAGGAACAGCAAGCGGAGCAAGTATGCACTCTGTCGTATCTGTTGGCGGAGCTGAGCCAGAGGCGACTTGGATACGACGTATGACTAGGTCGAGTCAGACAAAAGTGCTAATCTGTGAGGAAAGAACCAGAGCATGGATTGGCTTACTGCGCTCCCGCTGCAGTCGGATGTCGGTTGAGGCCCGGCGGTGTGAATCAGAGGCCGATGTGACACCAGGTGCTCAAGTTAGGCGGAATACGGCTTGTGCGAGAAAGAGCTGCTGTCGCAAGTACTGCGTTAATGAAGTTCGCGTTTATGTAGTCCGATGACAAGCGTGTGCAGAAGATAGAAAGAAAGAGCTGCGTCAGAAGGATGGCGAGCTGTCAGTTAATTATCAGACCGCTCCTGTGGACTTTGTGGCCGCGGTTCCGTAAAGAAGAGTGCTGACAGAAGTTGCGATGTGACTGTTGACGCGGGAGTGAAGTTGCCGGACGGGAGCCCGCGTTGGAAGGACCGGGGGCCTTGAAAAGGAGAGCTGATGTGCAAACGCAGCGCCCAGCCGAAAGGCCAAATTGCTGGCAGAGGCTGTTGCAAGGGCTTTTTGTCCGGTGGTGATGGACAAAGAAGCACAGTCTCTAGCTGTCAGAGGTGACAGGAGCTTGGATTTCGACTAGCAATGGGGCGTTCGAGAGCAGAGTTCCAAGGTGACTGATCAGACTGGGCGGCAGAGAAGTGTTGTTGAGCAAGGCTTTACAGTCCTGTTGGCGTGCAGTGTGGTCTGAGACATCGGGGGGATGAGCTCTCCACTGGTTCACGTCCTGTCTTAGTGGCTTTGGCTAGAAAGGGTCCTGTGTCGGCGTGGTGAAGGCTGATCTAGGATGAAGGCGATGGTGAGGTGAAGATCGAGGCGAGGTGAGTGGACGACCAGCCAGGTATGACAATATGTCGGTTGTTTGAGGCTTGGGGCAGAGTGACTTGATCCAGTGCCAGTGCTATCGATCTCCACACGTCAGCGGCAGAGACCAACCTTGGTACAGAGGGAGCCGCAGGGGAGATGCTTGCGATGGAATAGCAAACCGAGACGATTCAGAGCACGATTGGGCGATCGACGTGACTCGATGAGCCAACGAGCAGACGCAGCTGACGAAGGAGGAGGGGGGGCCCAGACGCAGTCTCCCGTAGACGGACAGTGTCTGCTCAAGACACGGGCAAGCTGCTGGAGACAAGATTCGATGCGAGGACGGATAGGTGGATGGCTTCCTGTCGAGAAGGGCAATCAAGAGGAGGTGGGTGAGCAACGATACCTCCGACGAGACCGATGTAACACCTCTCTGCACTCATGCGCCACGAGCTGCGGTATGCGAACGGATGAAGGAGATCTCACGCAGCGACGGTTGGAGGGGAGGAAGATGGCGACAAGATTTCCTGACACGAACCCGATGCCAGTGGAGAAGGATAGGGTCCTCTTGAACTCGGTAGAGAGGGAATGGTCAACTGGCTCGACTGGGAGGTATCCATACTCGAGGTACCTGCTCCCTGCCTTTTGTGATAGATGACAAGGGCGGTAGGCATGCAGAAGCACCCTGGTCTGGCGTGTTGATAGGATGTGGAGAGGGGGTGAGGGGGTCCAGAAGCAGCTCCCCAAGTCCGTCCAATACCGTGCCTCGGGTTCCAACCAGGTGGAAGACTGCGCCTAGATTGCCCACCACAAACCGCTGCAGGCGTCTGCTTTGGATCTTGTTATGGGTATTCTGTGCAGTCAGTGGCTGACCATATCCAGCGTCCAGCGACCGTCCAACGAATTTCGGAGAGCCACACTTTGTGAAAGTATGTGCGTCAAGTGCGTGACGATGGCATACCGTTCGTTGCGTTGCGCGTAATCCACAACCCGCTTAAACGGTAGTCAAATGTGCTGGCCGCCGAATGGCAAGCCATGGTGTAACAATCCACATGCGTCCTCGCCCTCTTCTCCATCCTTTTCGCCAAGCCTCCGGACTAGCACTGGCAACCCAGCTGTCCAGCTGCTGGGCAAATGACGCATCGCGTAGGTAAAGAATGGCCACGGGGGAGAGAGAATGCCGTGATGCCAGCTGGGAAACGATTCTGAGAGTCCATGTCCTACACCCCAAAGACCAAGCGAATCTAAAACTGTTGCAAAGTACCCATGAGGAAGAGAACACACCAGTGAGGTCTTGCGGGCGCTCCGAAAGAACTACATTGATGAGCATATCGCCCATTGTGCCTCAAGCCACAGGTCGTCCGTCCCTGTAGCTGCGTCTTTCGCACTAAAATCAACGAGGGGACAGAAGCCAGCTGCTTACGACTCCAGGAAGAGCCAAAAGGGGTGGGGGTGAACAAGAATTATGAAAGGTGCGTGGCCGCATGAAGTGTGGGAGAACAACCCATGTCGTAGTGCAGGGGTTTGAGTGAGACAAGTGGTGGGTCTAGTTGGGATGGCGCATCGGTCGGCAAGAGCCTCGCCAGCCATTCGAAGGTGATAATGCTTGGTGCAAAGTCTTGATTGCATCATTCTCATCGTCCGCAGTAGTAATTGCTTTTTCTGCTTTCCTTTTCGGCTGGCCGACCCCTCATGTAACCACGAGGTAGTTTTTGAGTACCTACAGGCACGGACTATCCAGTCGCCGGGCCAGTCATGTCGCAAGTCGCCATCGAAGTGGGCGGGTTCGTGAGCTGTGGTAAACGGAGACATGGGGTATCTACTGGGAATTCTTTGCTGGCCCAAGAGGTGCTGACCCTGAACTACCGCGGTGCGAAAGCTCCGGCATTTCACGGTTGGGGCATTTGCGAGACCCATGCTAGAAGCAAGCCAAGGACACCGTCCACTTCGAATTTTGAACGGACGCGACGCAAGGGACGAATAAATAAACTTGCAAAGTTTGCGTTTGATCGATCCTAATTCGGCCTTCAGGTGACTTGTACTCTGCTTAGGTTGTCGCCCCAGGATCTTGCGAGAGCACGCGGTTTGAACGCTTCAGGATCTTGACCAATGACTCTGGAAACGCCTCGTGTCTTTCGTCGTACAGTACATTCGACACTAGCCGCTAGACATTTCGTTGAATTGCTTGGATCGCAAAAGAGTGGCCCCCTAGGCACTGGAAATTTTCAAGGTCGCCAGACGAGAAACATGTCTGCTGTAGACACAACTGGTAGTGGATTGATAAATCGGCGACGATACCAGTGGAACAAAACCCATGATCGACGGGCGTGTCCTTGGCCCAGGGACGGGACGAAGAGCGGGAAGAACGGGCATGACGGGCGCCGCCCACCCCAGGTGACGCGCCCGGGAAGAACCTCGCGGTAGAGGTCGGCGGACGAGGCTCGCTAGGGTGTATCCGTGCCTTCCTAAACCAAAGTAGGGGCTCTAAGGGGCCTTGAGATAGGCTAAGCGGGAGGGTCACGGCCGCAGCCGCCGCGCGAGCGTCCGTCGGGGTTCCTCGTTCGCCTCAGCCTGGCTCTTCCCCAGCGAACTGTTTTGGTCGAGTTTCGTGTGCAAGCAACTGTGGGCTACTGGGCGCGAGAAAATTCCCAACATCGGCATCGGTCTTGGAACGGCCAATGATGACAGCGAACGACCAAAGAAGGCCAATGATAGCGGGATAACGAACAGTCAATTTCTGAGCCACCTTCGTTAGCTACAAATCAAGGGTGGGCAGACAGTCCTGCTGGCCGAACGTAAAGTTGACAAGCGGAAGAATAATTTCTGGACCGGACGTCTCTCGACTGCATCGAAGAGTGTTCGGACCACACGTATGTGGTTTTGATATTCGAGCAGATTAAATAAATAAATAAATAAAAAAAGGGCTGAACCAAGTGGCAATGGCCTCATGGCCGTGTAAATCTTTGGAGCCCACGCTCAAGCTGTATGTCTGAGTTGCGTGGATGGTGTCTCTCCTGTAAGGTAGACAAGTGAGGGTGGCGGCCACGCATGCTCCTGCTACCTTACATGGTACCTACCTGGGCATGCCACAGGCAGGTGCGAATTGCCCTTCTGCCTCTGCCAGCTCCAGGCGCAGGCGTTCAGGGCCCCAGGGCCCGCGCACATCCCCTAGTCAAGGTCCTGTCTGCCTGGCCTGGGTCTTGGCGCACTTCACCTGGCGGAACACGACAGGGCAAGAACGAGGTGGTGGGGGTCGCTACTGGGGCGTTGGCTTGGGCTTAGGCGTGGGCGTGGGCTTGGGCGGGGCGGGGCGGGGCAGGTCTTGCCTAAAGTGCTGTTTCTCAATCAACCACTCAGGGAAGCTAGGCATCTTACGAGCAAAAGCGACGGCAAGGGCTTCTTTCCCTACACTCCCCTGAACCTTAAGGTGGGTTGGCTACAGGCATCGGGGGCCATTGGGGCCTTCTTGTCCCCGCCAGTGGTCCTCTGTCGGCCGATACAGTGGATACAGCGGGCTTTTGGCCGACTGACTCTGTTACGGCCTCTCCTCTGGCTCCCCCTCTCCCCCTCCACACCCCTGGGCCAGAGCTCGCCCGAACGATGACGGGCAGAGCCGCAGTATATGACAGAGATCCAGTGCAATCTCATTAGTAGTAAGTAGTTCCACGCAGGGAGGGAGAGAGGCGCACGGGTGTCACGGCTGCTCAGAGGAGATCCCCATGGATAGCTGAAGGAGACTAACGCAGTCAGGTGGGAAGGAATCGAAATATCTGGAGCACCCCCACCGAGCATGGATATGACCCGACTTCACAAGCTAGCTCATCATCCAATAACTGAATAGAACTTGGTCCCCCCCAAGACCCCAAGCCTCGGCTTCGAGGTTGACCTTACCTGACTGGACTCGATACTGCAGCATACCCTTCAACCCACCCCCTTCGATCAATCTCACCTATAGCACCTTGAACCTTTTTCCTCTAAGCGAGGGAAGATGCTCACCCACTGGATGCGGGGCAAGCCAAGTTGGCATTGCAGGGGCGACTGGCCGTCAACACCACGGCAAGCAGGCCCTGTCGGTTTGGCTCTGTTGGATCGTTCCTTCCGACTCTCATAGCCACAACCGTCCTGTCTACATGGAATACCCATCTCTCGGGAAGGCAAGGTGTCGGAGGCAGGTCCCTCACGGCGTGAACTGATCAGCTACATGTACTCGGGTGGAAATCTCGACTGGCGCGGTCAAGTGCCGGCCTCGGTGTTTGCCCTCAATTCGTTTGCTGGAGGGGGGTTAATTGTCCGCCTGCATTGCATGCCACCAAGGTACATCTGTCCCATCTACTTCCCGCAGGTACCTGGCCTGAAGTCCAAGTCAAACATCATGCACCTCTTATCACGTCTGTCGATCATCAACATCTCAACCTTGGAAACTCGAATTGGCCTATGCCAGGGCCTCAAACACCCCCCGTGCGCTACCCAGGATCTTGCCAGTTCAACCCCCCCTGGACCCATGCTCACACCCATCTCATCCTCACTCTTGTCTATGTATGGCAGCATGATCGCCCCGACCTGGCATGCCTGCCTACCTACGAGAGCCAATGCTGCACTCTTTCGAGGTCAAAGTCGAGCCCGCAGCAAAGCTCAGACGTACATCACGTCGCACAACAGCACAGCAGCCGGTGATCCGGCCGCCCCGACAGCAAACCAAACGGTTCTGGGCATTTGCACGGCCTGCGCCTGAAGCCTCCACACATGGTCGTCAGGCTGGCACAGACGGTGATTCCCCATTGTCAACGAAGCATGTACCGCACATCCGTGGTGTTTCCACGTGCACCAGTAATACTTGGTAGACCATCCATCCTGTACAGTTTCCGGATCTTCCGCATGCAAGGGGACTGTGCCTGTTGATGAACACGACCAATTCTGCATACGACTGACGCCCGCTGAGATGAACAGAACAAGTGACCAGAACACTAGACAACCAGCCTTCTTCCACTGCTTTCAGCTTCGAGCTCGCCGCCATCTGCCCGATGCTTGGTACATGAGGAGCCCTGTTCCTACCGATCGCTAGATGGATCGCCGATGCGAAGGCACGACGATTACCCATCATACCCTCCAAAGTCTACGTTTGTCTCCGTTCGAGTCAGTTCACCATGCGTCAGTCGCCGTTACAGCGGACGATGATCCCTTCAGATGGAATTCCTAGCTCCCTTTTTTCAGCTCTTCCTCTGACTTTCCCCACAATCTCCTCTACTACCATTTTTCGCAGCGGGGGCTCCACTCATAGCCGCCTGTCATCTCAACTCTTTTTCGACACCTCCGACGTGCGCAGAGTCAGGCCTGTGCTCCAGACCAAAAAAAAAAAAACACAACACGACATCGCGAAGCCTCTCGGGAACACCATCTAGATCGCCCAGCTAGACAGGGCCGTCGGATCCCCCGCTGAAATCTTGCCTTGGGCTTCTCCCCTCGAAGCTGAAGCTTGTCTTCGAGTTGACACCCCCTGTAGCCCGTAGCACATCGTCTACGTTGAAGCTGGCTGAAGAGTGGAAGGTGGAGTGGCAGAATGCCCTCTTGTTCTTGCCACTCCCATACCGAGGGGCTGATCCAGCTTGGAGAGCCCTGTACGCCAAGGATAGCGGCGCCTCGTGGCTACGTTACCGTCTGAGTGGGAATGGAGACCTGCCAAAGCCAGGATTTTGCTTCTCTCACGTTCATTTTGGGTCGTCAACAGCCAGTCAGCCAACGGGCTCTGTTTGCTGGCTGTCAGACTCCCAACGGCCGTTGGTTGACGCCAATTCAATGCAGGCTACCCATTCATTTGGACCGTTGGCCCCGAATCGGGATGCTTGAAGGCAAAGGAGGGGGGGGTGAAGATGGGGTGCCAAGTATACCAGGCATATCGGGCATCGTTATCGGCTGGGAATGGCTGCGAATGTAATTTGATATCGACTCTCGAGGTGACATCGAATTTGGACATCCTAGATAGGCTGCTTCAACAGACTTGACTCCCGAGGATGTCTTTCTGCCCTATTGGCAAGTCGGATCGAAGCAGAGCGATAGAGCATTTGCGTTGCTACCTTGCCAGGAGTGAGTACCCTCCGACGGAACCTTGCACGATACTACCCATTGCAGACCCGCTCATGTCCAGCAATCAGATGCTTCGGCCAGTCCTCTCGGCTTAGTCCAGAAATGAAGCTCCGTGCATCTGTCATGCGCTTACATGGTACAAACAGCCGACCTCCGACAGCGACAGGTTCTGGGGTCGCACAGGGTGTGTTGCACAGCATTTTGCGCACGCCACAGTCCGCCATTTGGAGGTAAGAAGAGCAGAGAGCTTTCCAACCCCTGGTGACCATTGATTCTGATGTACCGAAATGGCACAGCGCAGGGTATCGCTGTCAGGAATCATGAGTCTGTTCCTGTGACTCAATGCCGCCTGTCAAGTCAGGCCATGTCTCTGATCAAGTCGTTTCTTCACGGCTTTTGCATGTAATATCCTGCAAGTCTAATATTGCTTGAACCTTGACCGAGCCGCGGACCAGGGAGTGTCCGGCCGGCGACAGTGCGCAGTATGCAAACCCGCTAGGGCGCTGGAACAGTGTCGGTGTGCGACTGCGCTCGCCGGCCTCGAACAGTAACATACTTGACGTGGGCCAGGCACCATTGCGCTGGTGCAAGACGTTCTGCAAGCTCGCTTTCGTCCGGCCGGCCAGATTGATGACCCCGTTTTCGAAACGCTCCTGGTGCCGCGTGTCAGTCTATCTGACTCCCTGATGGCGTCCTGGGTTTTCTCGGCACGCTCGTTCAGAAGAACTCGTCACTTGTCGCCCGTATGTATATGCGTGAAGACAACATCAGAAAGCAAACACCTCCAGCGATGGGCCGCATCCCTCAGTTGGGGCAACTTGGCCCCGGCGGTGAGGATTGGACGAGCTAATGCAGTCATCTCTGTCACATCCCAGCTACTAGTCAATCCATCCATACGTACCATCAGCCCGGCGACGCAAATGTCCGAATACAGGTAGCAGGCGACGGCCGGGCGCGGCTTGGCAGCTCCGATCACCTTCATGGCGCCGTGTCGGTGCCACCTTGACGACAACTGTCCCACAGCAACGGCCCACCCATGCTTCTTGTCTCAAAATGGGGGAGAGTTCTGCACAACAGCAGCCATGCTTCACCTCGTGTCTCTGCCACCCCCGCCCGAGCTTCCGCCAGTGGTTCCTTTTGAGTACAGTACAGCGAGCGCCCTCTTGTCGATTGTCTCTGCAACCTGGATGTCACACGCCATGTGAGACCGGTGAGGTAGGGGCGAAGCAGACGGGCGGGCGACGTCCCAGTTTTAGACACTCGTGTCGTCATGGGAGGGGGGGGGAGAGACGGGATCTGAAATGTGAGGGTAGGGAAAACGCCATGGCGCCCAGGGATGTGCCCTGCCAATGTCGCACACGCCTCGCATGGCAATGTGTTAATCGCACTTGGTTTTCTTTTGGTTATGTATGTATTTCTAGCTGCCTCGGGTCACACGCACGCCGGGCACTTCGCCGCACTGCTCATCACCAACTCGAAACGTCCAAGATCCGACCTCTGAGTGGCGCGAGGCTGACTAGCCCTGGGCTGGGGGTAGACAAAAGCCACAAAACGACGCCCCCGCTTGCTGCCTGCCGCCAGCCGCCAGCCGCCTGCCGGCCTGAAGCCTGGCTCCAAACTAAGTAAGGTAAGGTTCCTAGCGAAGGATGACAATCACAGTTTAACCTCCTAGCTGGGCGTTTGAACGCAAGCGAGTTCGCCCCGAAAAGGCCCATCGTTGCCCCATCGGCCACTGAATAAAAGCTGATGGTCTGTGTGGCGCACGTAGCGCCCCCCCCTCCCTCGACCTAGCTAGCAAAAGTCCCGTGTTGAAGAGACGTCGTCATGCCGCTCTCTCTTGGCGACGAGGTCTTGTACTCGCCCTTTTTACAGCCTAGGAGATGCGAATGGCTGCCGGCTTGTTGTCAGTTACGTGTGTAGCTTGGCTGTATTGAGGTTTGCGTCCTCGCTCGTCTCCACCGTGCAAAGGTCTCTCCCGCCGTGGAGAGAACGCGCGAACCTACGTAGCTTCATGCCCACTTTCTGACGAGGGCGGAATATGCGTGTTCAAACACAGGGCTGACAAGATGTACCCAGCTCCTTTGCGCGACAAGGTATGTACAAGTAGCTTTACAACAGGCTAGACCTCTGATACAAAACGGGTCAGACTAAAAACAGGTTTCGCTTTTTTCTTTTCTTTTGGCCATCCGTCTCAGCACCCCGCCTCCCCCGACAGCCTTCTCGATAACGAGTGGATCAATGCTGACGACCCGTTGGGCCACGCTGCTTATCAGCCCCCTTCCCCTCCCGCCCCTCGCTTGAAGGGGCAAGCGGATTCCCCTGCTCCGTAGCGACGACCAGATCCAATCCCGTCCTTTCACAAGCGTGTTCCCGAGACACCTCATCAGGTCTCCGTCTCGAGACCCGCCTGCTTGACGAGCCCGTAGAATACACCCTGCTTCTTCAGTAGTGCCTTGGGTGAGTCAAACTCGACGACCTCGCCCTTGTCCAGCACAACAACGCGGTCGCTGTCGAGGATGGTGTTGATGCGGTGAGCCACGGTGATGATGGTGCGGTTTGCGAAGAGAGGAGACCGCAGCGTCTGCTGCAGCATGGCATCCGTCTCGACGTCGACGGCGGCCGTCGCCTCGTCGAGAACCAGAATGTTGGAGGGTGTCAGCATCGCACGCGCGAGGGAGACGAGCTGCCGCTGGCCTTGGGAGAGGTTGGAGCCTGTGTGTCGTCAAGTCAGTGGGCTGCGCATTGTCAAGCGACTTGATGTTGGTGGTGGGCAACGCTATCCCGAGTGAAGAATGCTGCCGTCTGTGACCTGACTGAGACTTCGTCCGTCGTGGCAGACAGGAGCTACAGCACGGGACTGCGACCATCTGCATGTAAGGGCAGATCATGCAGGGGACGGTGAGTGGAACAGATGGACGCATGTGAAAGATGACGACCAAGCCAATGTCCGTGGTCGCGCGACGCACCATGTCGTTGCCATCATGACAAGCCCAGTAGACAGGCACGACAGTATTGATGGATGCACACGACATGGCCGCCTCGGTCATTCACAGGGTACACGGGGACGGGTGCGAGCAGCAATCACACGAGGACATGGCAAAAGCCGACGGAAAGCGAAAAGGCGGCGGCGCGCGAACTTACCTCCTTCATTAATCTTGGCCTCGAGGCCACCCTCCATGCTGTTGACGTGGTCCTTTAACCGGGCGTGTTCTGTGATGACCGGGCATTAGCTTCCAGCCTAATGTGTTGCTTGTGTGACGAAAGAAAACTCACCAAGTACGCTCCATAGCTCCGTGTCATCATGTACGTGACCGGGGTCCAAGTTGTCGCGAACGGTACCTTCGAACAGGGCGGCGTCCTGGGGAATGATGGCCAGTCTCCTGCGGAGGTCCAGCAACCCTATAGAACTCGTATTAAGACCATCTATGCTGATGTTGCCCGTGGTGGGCTCGATGATGCGGAACAGCGCAAGCGTCAGTGACGACTTTCCTGCACCGGTCCGCCCGACGACACCAATTTTCTCGTGAGACTTGATATCTAGGGATATGTTCTTGAGAACGAGGTCGAGGCCCTCGCGGTAGCGAGTGCTATAGTTCTTGAACTCAAGACTGCCATTCGCCGGCCACGTGACCGGAGGTCGGCTCTCTTTGATGACCTCCGGCGCTTCGGCCGGCAGACGGGCGTACTCGAGAACACGCTCGACCGAGACAATGTTGGTCTCGACTTCGACAGTCTGGCGCACGATCCAGTTGAGGGATGTCGTAATCTGCAGGGCGTATGACATGGATAGACCGACCAAGCCGGCCTTGAGGCCGCTGTGGTTTGTCACGGATATGATGGCAAGGCCGGCGGCGGCCAGGATGACGAGAGCACCCATAAACTCAAGACGAACAGCCAGCCAACGGTTGGCGCTGATGGAGGGGTAGAACGCCTTGAGGTTCGAATCGACTCGCCACTCATTTTCAAGCTCAAAGCGCTGCTGCTGTCGGTACGCCCGAATGGTCGAGACACCGCCTAGTGACTCCTGGAAGTGTGCATAAATGGGGCTGCGACTAACGCTGTCCAACCTCTTGAGCTCACGAGACGTTCGCAGGTAGTACCGCTGGATCCAATAGTAGGTCAGGGCGAGTGGGATGATGAATGCGATGAAGGCTGGTGTAGACACGGAGATGACCGCAAGCGTGAAGCAGGATCGAGCCAGATTAACGAAGAGCATGTTGAAAGTCCGGGCGAGCACCTCGTCCACTCGATAGATGTCACTGCATGAATAACGTCAGCCGTTGCACTCCCCCGCCTTTTCAGTCATTGCCTGAGACATCCACCAACGTGCATCAGGGGCGCGCACCGAGCTCGGCTCGAAACGCCACGCAGATTGGTGTTTAAGTACGACCACGAGAGAATGAAGCGGCTCAGTATGGGGTGGCACGAACCTGGAGAAGCGATTCAGGATGCGACCTGTTGGTGTGACGTCAAAAAATGACATGGGTGACCGGAAGATGGCATTGGCCATTCGCTCATGCAGTTTCCGAGAGGCCTGTTGTGTATTAGTCTGATGTCGTCCGGATCATGGTGGCGACGGCGACGCAATGCTTACCTCGATGGAGCAGAAAATCCACAGGATGAGAGTTTGCAGAACGGTCAGGAGGGAAGAACCAATGCCGAAGGCAAAGTAAATACCGATGAACATGCCGACCTTGGGGTTGCCGTGGTGCTTCTGATTGTATTCTGCCCAGATATTGAGCCAGACCGAACCACCAATGTTGGCCGTCTGTGAAGCTAGCAGCGCAATCAGGTAGACGGCGACCGCGGCAAGGTTGCTGTTCTTCGCATACTCGAAGTACACGTCCCACTTGACCTTGCCCTGTTCCGAGTGCTCTTTGCCCTGTCGTGTGCGGCTGCCAGCAACCTCTTCGTCGGTGAGTTTGCCGCGGGGACCTCGGAAGCTAGCGGCGCTAGCACGCCTCAGAGTCGCCATGCTGTCGGATCGCTTCTTGGCCGATGTGGAAGCGCCTGTCTTGATGGGTTCCATTTCGGGGACACGCTCTTGCGCCTCCTCCATCTCGTCCTTCTCCTGACCCGTGGCAACAGGTTCGAGGACGGTTGTCGAAGCGGTGCTAGAGCGGCTGGAGCTGGCCTTGGACGAGGAGGGCCCAGATGATTCCTGGCCGGCTGTCTTGATGAGATCTGAGACCATGCCCTTCATAGCCACAAGTTGCTTGTATGTGCCCTTCTCCACAACCTGTCCATCCCTGATCATAGTAATGTAGCTAGCGCCTTGAAGGACGAAGATGGAGTTGGTGGCCAGGATGCGGGTCTTGGTGTTCAGCAGGCCCCTGGGGCCAAGGACATTCTCGGTGATGTGCTTGCCTACGTGAGAGTCCACGGCCGAGAGGACATCATCAAAAAGATAGATATCAGCACGGGCATAGACAGCGCGGGCCAGTGCCACACGTGCCTTCTGTCCACCGCTCAGGGAGATGCCACGCTCGCCGACGACAGTCTCGTCTCCGTCGGGCAGTTGAGCGAAGTCGTCCACCAGGGCGCAAGCCTTTACAGTTTTTTCATAGAATGCAGAGTCGTAACGGTATCCAAAGATGATGTTCTCCTTGACCGTGGCGTTCAGAATCCACGGGGACTGCGCGACGTAGGCGACGCTTCCGTGTACTTCGACTTGGCCGTTGATCTTCCACAAATCACCGAGGATACTTTGCAGGAACGAAGACTTGCCGGCTCCGACGCGACCAACGACGCACGAGAGCTCTCCCTTGTAGGCGGTGAAGTCAAGGTCACGAAGAACAGTCTTAGACTCGTGGCGGTTCCAGGAGAAGGTGCCGCCACGGATGACGACGGTTTCTTCGCCCATCTCCTCAGGAGCAGGCTTGACGATAATGGCATCGGGCTGGATCTCCTCGGCGCCCAGGAAGGAGGTCAGACGGCCGACGGCGACACTTGCCTCCACGATGGATGTTATCACCATAGGGA